GGCAAAGTGACTGTTTCAGCAACAGTTTCTGTTTCAAATGTCGTCTCAGGAAGAATAATTGTCGATGTTTCGGGCAAAGTGACTGTTTCAGAAACAGTTTCTGTTTCAAATGTCGTCTCAGGCAGAATAATTGTCGAAATTTCAGGCAAAGTGACTGTTTCAGAAACAGTTTCTGTTTCAAATGTCGTCTCAGGAAGAACAATTGTCGATATTTCAGGCAAAGTGACTGTTTCAGAAACAGTTTCTGTTTCAAATGTCGTCTCAGGAAGAACAATTGTCGATATTTCAGGCAAAGTGACTGTTTCAGAAACAGTTTCTGTTTCAAATGTCGTCTCAGGCAGAATAATTGTCGATATTTCAGGCAAAGTGACTGTTTCAGAAACAGTTTCTGTTTCAAATGTCGTCTCAGGCAGAATAATTGTCGATGTTTCGGGCAAAGTGACTGTTTCAGAAACAGTTTCCGTTTCAAATGTCGTCTCAGGCAGAATTACTGTCGATGTTTCAGTCAAAATAATTGTCTCAAATGTTGAAGTCCCAAAGATCGTCGCAGTTTCAGAATCTGTCTCTGTCGAAGCTATGGAAAAAAAAACATAGACGCAATTTACATTCCCATTCTAAGATCAACAAGAAAGAGTAATAAACTTTATTCATGGACTTCAGCGTTTACAATAATTGTCAATCAACTCAACAGAATAAACAGGTAAAGGCTAATGGCCAATATTTTGATACCCGATGACCAAACTACATATTACTAATTCTTCTGAACCTTCCTTTTATCTTTGAACCTAATGCTACCAGAAAAAAATGCAATGTAGCAGACATATTTTCTGTCATTGTAATAGTTGTCAAAGTGAAACAGACGTACATAAAGGAAATGAAAGTTCTTACCTGCTGTAGATGTAGAATCACTTTCCAGTTTACGGAGTTCAGCATTCTTTTCGTTTACCTGATCCTGTAGGCTCGAAATAAGGGTCTTTAAAGATTCAACCTCTTCTCCTACAGCACTACTGGCTGTCTCTGCAGCGGCTGTAATATTGTCGACCATACTAGAATCGATGACAAAGGTTCCATTTTCTATGAGTGTGGCAAAATAACCAATAAGTTCATTGAAGCAGATGATTTGGTCGGTTGTGAGGTTGGACAACTTGGTGGAGAGATCATTGATCATAGTAAGAAGCAGATCTGTCGGGTCCCCAGTTAAGGCATTGTCCTCATTTACCTCGCAATATGGATCTACTGTGACAGTGTCACCACCTTGGTTAACAGAGTAAGTAGGGGATCGTCTTCTCCTATGTCTCCCACTACTATTTATAGCATCAGTGATTCGCTGCAATGTTGCTTCTATTTCTGCAAAAGCACTGGCGGTTGCGTTGTTGGCAGCAATTGAGTTTTGAAGCTCTTCCAGCTCCTCTTCCAATTCTTTCTTTCTTTGTTCCAGTTCTGTCAAAACAGTTGTTGCTGCAGCTGCTGTTTCTCCTTTGATGGTTGACGTTTCAGGAAGTGTCACCGTTTCGAAGACAGTTTCTGCTTCAAAGGTTGATATTTCAGGAAGCGTCACTGTTTCAAAGACAGTTTCTGCTTCAACGGTTGATATTTCAGGAAGCGTCACTGTTTCAAAGACAGTTTCTGTTTCAATGGTTGATATTTCAGGAAGCGTCACTGTTTCAAAGACAGTTTCTGCTTCAAGGTTGATATTCAGGAAGCGTCACTGTTTCAAAGACAGTTTCTCTTCAATGGTTGATATTTCAGGAAGCGTCACTGTTTCAAAGACAGTTTCTGTTTCAATGGTTGATATTTCAGGAAGCGTCACTGTTTCAAAGACAGTTTCTGTTTCAATGGTTGATATTTCAGGAAGCGTCACTGTTTCAAAGACAGTTTCTGTTTCAATGGTTGATATTTCAGGAAGCGTCACTGTTTCAAAGACAGTTTCTGTTCAATGGTTGATATTTCAGGAAGCGTCACTGTTTCAAAGACAGTTTCTGTTTCAATGGTTGATATTTCAGGAAGGCGTCACTGTTTCAAGACAGTTTCTGTTTCAATGGTTGATATTCAGGAAGCGTCACTGTTTCAAAGCAGTTTCTGTTTCAATGGTTGATAATTTCAGGAAGCGTCACTGTTTCAAAGACAGTTTCTGTTTCAATGTTGATATTTCAGGAAGCGTCACTGTTTCAAAGACAGTTTCTGTTTCAATGGTTGATATTTCAGGAAGCGTCACTGTTTCAAAGACAGTTTCTGTTTCAATGGTTGATATTTCAGGAAGCGTCACTGTTTCAAAGACAGTTTCTTTCAATGGTTGATTTCAGGAAGCGTCACTGTTTCAAAGACAGTTTCTGTTTCAATGGTTGATATTTCAGGAAGCGTCACTGTTTCAAAGACAGTTCTGCTTCAAGGTTGATATTTCAGGAAGCGTCACTGTTTCAAAGACAGTTTCTGTTTCAATGGTTGATATTTCAGGAAGCGTCACTGTTTCAAAGACAGTTTCTGCTTCAATGTTTGATATTTCAGGAAGCGTCACTGTTTCAAAGACAGTTTCTGTTTCAATGGTTGATATTTCAGGAAGCGTCACTGTTTCAAAGACAGTTTCTGCTTCAATGGTTGATATTTCAGGAAGCGTCACTGTTTCAAAGACAGTTTCTGTTTCAATGGTTGATATTTCAGGAAGCGTCACTGTTTCAAAGACAGTTTCTCCTTCGACGGTTGATATTTCAGGAAGCGTCACTGTTTCAAAGACAGTTTCTGTTTCAATGGTTGATATTTCAGGAAGCGTCACTGTTTCAAAGACAGTTTCTGTTTCAATGGTTGATATTTCAGGAAGCGTCACTGTTTCAAAGACAGTTTCTCCTTCGACGGTTGATATTTCAGGAAGCGTCACTGTTTCAAAGACAGTTTCTGTTTCAATGTTGATATTTCAGGAAGCGTCACTGTTTCAAAGACAGTTTCTTTCACGGTTGATATTTCAGGAAGCGTCACTGTTTCAAAGACAGTTTCTGTCCTTCAATGGTTGATATTCAGGAAGTCACTGTTTCAAAGACAGTTTCTGTTTAAGGTTGATGTTTCGGAAGCGTCACGTTTCAAAGACAGTTTCTCCTTCGACGGTTGATGTTTCAGGAAGCGTCACTGTTTCAAAGACAGTTTCTCTCGACGGTTGATGTTTCAGGAAGCGTCACCGTTTCAAAGACAGTTTCTCCTTCGACGGTTGATGTTTCAGGAAGCGTCACCGTTTCAAAGACGGTTTCTCCTTCGACGGTTGATGTTTCAGGAAGCGTCACCGTTTCAAAGACGGTTTCCCTTCGACGGTTGATGTTTCAGGAAGCGTCACCGTTTCAAAGACGGTTTCTCCTTCGACGGTTGATGTTTCAGGAAGCGTCACCGTTTCAAAGACGGTTTCCCTTCGACGGTTGATGTTTCAGGAAGCGTCACCGTTTCAAAGACGGTTTCCCTTCGACGGTTGATGTTTCAGGAAGCGTCACCGTTTCAAAGACGGTTTCTCCTTCGACGGTTGATGTTTCAGGAAGCGTCACCGTTTCAAAGACGGTTTCCCTTCGACGGTTGATGTTTCAGGAAGCGTCACCGTTTCAAAGACGGTTTCCTTCGACGGTTGATGTTTTCAGGAAGCGTCACCGTTTCAAAGACGGTTTCTCCTTCGACGGTTGATGTTTCAGGAAGCGTCACCGTTTCAAAGACGGTTTCTCCTTCGACGGTTGATGTTTCAGGAAGCGTCACCGTTTCAAAGACGGTTTCTCCTTCGACGGTTGATGTTTCAAAGCGTCACCGTTTCAAAGACGGTTTCTCCTTCGACGGTTGATGTTTCAGGAAGCGTCACCGTTTCAAAGACGGTTTCTCCTTCGACGGTTGATGTTTCAGGAAGCGTCACCGTTTCAAAGGACGGTTTCTCCTTCGACGGTTGATGTTTCAGGAAGCGTCACCGTTTCAAAGACGGTTTCTCCTTCGACGGTTGATGTTTCAGGGAAGTGTCACCGTTTCAAAGACGGTTTCTCCTTCGACGGTTGATGTTTCAGGAAGCGTCACCGTTTCAAAGACGGTTTCTCCTTCGACGGTTGATGTTTCAGGAAGCGTCACCGTTTCAAAGACGGTTTCTCCTTCGACGGTTGATGTTTCAGGAAGCGTCACCGTTTCAAAGACGGTTTCTCCTTCGACGGTTGATGTTTCAGGAAGCGTCACCGTTTCAAAGACGGTTTCTCCTTCGACGGTTGATGTTTCAGGAAGCGTCACCGTTTCAAAGACGGTTTCTCCTTCGACGGTTGATGTTTCAGGAAGCGTCACCGTTTCAAAGACGGTTTCTCCTTCGACGGTTGATGTTTCAGGAAGCGTCACCGTTTCAAAGACGGTTTCTCCTTCGACGGTTGATGTTTCAGGAAGCGTCACCGTTTCAAAGACGGTTTCTCCTTCGACGGTTGATGTTCAGGAAGCGTCACCGTTTCAAAGACGGTTTCTCCTTCGACGGTTGATGTTTCAGGAAGCGTCACCGTTTCAAAGACAGTTTCTCCTTCGACGGTTGATGTTTCAGGAAGCGTCACCGTTTCAAAGACAGTTTCTCCTTCGACGGTTGATGTTTCAGGAAGCGTCACCGTTTCAAAGACAGTTTCTCCTTCGACGGTTGATGTTTCAGGAAGCGTCACCGTTTCAAAGACAGTTTCTCCTTCGACGGTTGATGTTTCAGGAAGCGTCACCGTTTCAAAGACAGTTTCTCCTTCGACGGTTGATGTTTCAGGAAGCGTCACCGTTTCAAAGACGGTTTCCCTTCGAGGTGATGTTTCAGGAAGCGTCACCGTTTCAAAGACGGTTTCTCCTTCGACGGTTGATGTTCAGGAAGCGTCACCGTTTCAAAGACGGTTTCTCCTTCGACGGTTGATGTTTCAGGAAGCGTCACCGTTTCAAAGACGGTTTCTCCTTCGACGTTGATGTTTCAGGAAGCGTCACCGTTTCAAAGACGGTTTCTCCTTCGACGGTTGATGTTTCAGGAAGCGTCACCGTTTCAAAGACGGTTTCTCCTTCGACGGTTGATGTTTCAGGAAGCGTCACCGTTTCAAAACGGTTTCCCCTTCGACGGTTGATGTTTCAGGAAGCGTCACCGTTTCAAAGACGGTTTCTCCTTCGACGGTTGATGTTTCAGGAAGCGTCACCGTTTCAAAGACGGTTTCTCCTTCGACGGTTGATGTTTCAGGAAGCGTCACCGTTTCAAAGACGGTTTCTCCTTCGACGGTTGATGTTTCAGGAAGCGTCACCGTTTCAAAAGAAGGTTTCTCCTTCGACGGTTGATGTTTCAGGAAGCGTCACCGTTTCAAAGACGGTTTCTCCTTCGACGGTTGATGTTTCAGGAAGCGTCACCGTTTCAAAGACGGTTTCTCCTTCGACGGTTGATGTTTCAGGAAGCGTCACCGTTTCAAAGACGGTTTCTCCTTCGACGGTTGATGTTTCAGGAAGCGTCACCGTTTCAAAGACGGTTTCTCCTTCGACGGTTGATGTTTCAGGAAGCGTCACCGTTTCAAAGACGGTTTCTCCTTCGACGGTTGATGTTTCAGGAAGCGTCACCGTTTCAAAGACGGTTTCTCCTTCGACGGTTGATGTTTCAGGAAGCGTCACCGTTTCAAAGACGGTTTCTCCTTCGACGGTTGATGTTTCAGGAAGCGTCACCGTTTCAAAGACGGTTTCTGCTTCGACGGTTGATGTTTCAGGAAGCGTCACCGTTTCAAAGACGGTTTCTCCTTCGACGGTTGATGTTTCAGGAAGCGTCACCGTTTCAAAGACAGTTTCTCCTTCGACGGTTGATGTTTCAGGAAGCGTCACCGTTTCAAAGACGTTTCTCCTTCGACGGTTGATGTTTCAGGAAGCGTCACCGTTTCAAAGACGGTTTCTCCTTCGACGGTTGATGTTTCAGGAAGCGTCACTGTTTCAAAGACAGTTTCTCCTTCGACGGTTGATGTTTCAGGAAGCGTCACCGTTTCAAAGACAGTTTCTGCTTCGACGGTTGATGTTTCAGGAAGCGTCACCGTTTCAAAGACGGTTTCTCCTTCGACGGTTTGATGTTTCAGGAAGCGTCACCGTTTCAAAGACGGTTTCTCCTTCGACGGTTGATGTTTCAGGAAGCGTCACCGTTTCAAAGACGTTTCTCCTTCGACGGTTGATGTTTCAGGAAGCGTCACCGTTTCAAAGACGTTTCTCCTTCGACGGTTGATGTTTCAGGAAGCGTCACCGTTTCAAAGACAGTTTCTCCTTCGACGGTTGATGTTTCAGGAAGCGTCACCGTTTCAAAGACGGTTTCTCCTTCGACGGTTGATGTTTCAGGAAGCGTCACCGTTTCAAAGACAGTTTCTCCTTCGACGGTCGACGTTTCAGATACAGTAACCGTTTCTGTCAATTCTACAGTTGTTTTAGATTTGAAAGTGGAATTCATGGACAGCTCTGTGGTTGTGGGTAGCGTTGCTTCCGTCAAAATCACTGTGGCGGTGCTCTCTGGAGTCGAACCTGCCAAAATATGAAAATAATGAGATTGTTTTTACAATCATGACGAATAGATTATGCACTAGTATGGACAAATAGTTTGTTTTCTTTTAAATATAAAGATTACTCTGAATGTAATCTTTCTCTCGGTTTAAAGACTTCAACACTTAACTAGAAATAGTACACATAGTCTAAAAGACCCAGAGATGATAGTGTAATGTACAGTAATAAGAAAATAAGAAATATAAAATAAATAGAAATGTGTGTGTGTGTAATTATGTGTGTGTGTGTAACTGTATGTGCGTGTATTTGCATTTGTATATATATATGTATATATCCGTGTGTGTGTTTGTGTGTATGTGTGTGTGTGTGTGTTTGGACGTATGCGTCTACACACACAGACACACTAGCACACATAGTCATATATGTTTATATNCAGGAAGCGTCACCGTTTCAAAGACGGTTTCTCCTTCGACGGTTGATGTTTCAGGAAGCGTCACCGTTTCAAGACGGGTTTCTCCTTCGACGGTTTGATGTTTCAGGAAGCGTCACCGTTTCAAAGACGGTTTCTCCTTCGACGGTTGATGTTCAGGAAGCGTCACCGTTTCAAAGACGGTTTCTCCTTCGACGGTTGATGTTTCAGGAAGCGTCACCGTTTCAAAAGACGGTTTCTCCTTCGACGGTTGATGTTTTCAGGAAGCGTCACCGTTTCAAAGACAGTTTTTCTTCGACGGTTGATGTTTCAGGAAGCGTCACCGTTTCAAAGACAGTTTGCTTCGACGGTTGATGTTTCAGGAAGCGTCACCGTTTCAAAGACAGTTTCTCCTTCGACGGTTGATGTTTCAGGAAGCGTCACCGTTTCAAAGACGGTTTCTCCTTCGACGGTTGATGTTTCAGGAAGCGTCACCGTTTCAAAGACGGTTTCTCCTTCGACGGTTGATGTTTCAGGAAGCGTCACGTTTCAAAGACAGTTTCTCCTTCGACGGTTGATGTTTCAGGAAGCGTCACCGTTTCAAAGACAGTTTCTCCTTCGACGGTTGATGTTTCAGGAAGCGTCACCGTTTCAAAAACGTTTCTCCTTCGACGGTTGATGTTTCAGGAAGCGTCACTGTTTCAAAGACAGTTTCTGCTTCAATGGTTGATATTTCAGGAAGCGTCACTGTTTCAAAGACAGTTTCTCCTTCGACGGTTGATGTTTCAGGAAGCGTCACCGTTTCAAAGACGGTTTCTCCTTCGACGGTTGATGTTTCAGGAAGCGTCACCGTTTCAAAGACAGTTTCTCCTTCGACGGTCGACGTTTCAGATACAGTAACCGTTTCTGTCAATTCTACAGTTGTTTTAGATTTGAAAGTGGAATTCATGGACAGCTCTGTGGTTGTGGGTAGCGTTGCTTCCGTCGAAATCACTGTGGCGGTGCTCTCTGGAGTCGAACCTGCCAAAATTTGAAAATAATGAGATTGTTTTTACAATCATGACGAATAGATTATGCACTAGTATGGACAAATAGTTTGTTTTCTTTTAAATATAAAGATAACTCTGAAAGTAATCTTTCTCTCGGTTTAAAGACTTCAACACTTAACTAGAAATAGTACACATAGTCTAAAAGATCCAGAGATGATAGTCTAATGTACAGTAATAAGAAAATAAGAAATATAAAATAAATAGAAATGTGTGTGTGTAATTATGTGTGTGTGTGTAACTGTATGTGCGTGTATTTGCATTTGTATATATATATGTATATATCCGTGTGTGTGTTTGTGTGTATGTGTGTGTGTGTTGTGTTTGGACGTATGCGTCTACACACACAGACACACTAGCACACATAGTCATATATGTTTATATTCATACACATTTCAATTTTCTATTCCCTTAGTACCGTACATTAGACCATCAATGTGTGTGTAAATATGTATATATATGTATGTGCGTGCGTGCGTGCGTGCGTGTGTGTGTGTGTGTGTGTGTGTGTGTGTGTGTGTGTGTGTGTGTGTGTGTGTGTGTGTGTGTGTGTGTGTGTGTGTGTATTTTTGTGCATATGTATGTATATATACTTTTTACGTGTATATATATGACTAAACATACTACAACCATGCACATACACATACACACATAAGAACACAAACAAAAAAGACAAACAAAACCATCTGTTTACATAAAACCTGCTCTTTATAAAGTGACATTCGACTCAATAATTCTTATACAAGCTGACCTGAGATGAATGAACAGGGGTGCAACAGTGAATGTCGTAGAAATCGTGGGTGGCTCAGTTGGTGGTTCTGTGGTTGTTGGTGGCACTGTTGGTGGTTCTGTGGTTGTGGTGTGGCACTGTTGGTGGTTCTGTGGGTTGTTGGTGGTTTCTGTCGGCGGTTCTGTGTTGTTGTGGTGTGGTTGTGGTGGCTCAGTTGGTGGTTCTGTGGGGTTCTTGGTGGTTGGTGGTTCTGTGGTTGTTGGTGGCACTGTTGGTGGTTCTGTGGTTGTTTCTTCGGCGGTTCTGTAGTTGTTGTGGTTTCTGGTGGTGTGGTTGTTGTGGCAGTTGGTGGTTCTGTGGTTGTTGGTGTTCTGTCGGTTCTGTGTGGGTTGGGTGGTTCTGTGGTTGGTGGCTCTGTCGGCGGTTCTGTGGTTGTTGGCGGTTCTGTGGTTGTTGGTGGCACTGTCGGCGGTTCTGTGGTTGTTGGTGGCTCTGTTGGCTTTCTGTGGTTGTGTGGTGGGTTGTTGGTTGGCTCTTGGCGGTTCTGTGGTTGTTGGTGGCTCAGTTGGCGGTCCTGTGCTTGTTGGGGGCCTGTTCTGTTCTGTGGTTTTTGGTGGCACTGTCGGCGGTTCTGTGGTTGTGTGGGTTGTCTGGTTGTTGCTGTTTGTTGGTGGTTCTGTGTTGTTGTGGCCTGTTGGTGGTTCTGTGGTTGTTGGTGGCTCGGGTTCTATGGTTGTTGGTGGCTCTTCAGTCGGTTCTGTGGTTGTTGGTTGCTCTGTTGGCGGTTTCTGGTGGTTGTTCTGGCTCAGTTTGGGTTCTGTGGTTGTTGGTGGCTCGTTGGTGGTTCTGTTGGTGGTTGGTGGCTCTGTGGCGGTTCTGTGTTGTTGGTGGTTCTGGTGGTTTGTGGTTGTTGTTGTGTGTTGGTGGCTCTGTTGGCTGTTCTGTGGTTGTTGGTGGGTTGTTCTGTGGTTGTTGGTGGCTCTGTTGGTGGTTCTGTGGTTGTTGGTGGCTCTGTTGGTGTTCTGGGGTGTGTGGCTCTGTCGGCGCGTTCTGTGGTTGTTGGCGGTTCTGTGCGTCTTGTGTGTGGCATTGTTCAGGGTGGTTCTGTGGTTGTTGTTTTTGCTCTGTCGGCGGTTCTGTGGTTGTGGTTGTTTCTCAGTGGTGGGTTCTGTGATTGTTGGTGGGCTCTGTCGTTCTGTGGTTGTTTGCTCTGTTGGCGGTTCTGTGGTTGGTGGTGGCTCGTCCTGTGGTTGTTGGTGGCTCGTTCGTTGGTGGCTCTGTTGGTGGTTCTGTGGTTGTTGGTGGCTCAGTTGGCTGTTCTGTGGTTGTTGGTGGCTCAGTTGGTGGTTCTGTGGTTGTTGGTGGCTCTGTTTCCTGTGGTTGTTGGTTGCTCTGTTGGCGGTTCTGTGGTTGTTGGTGGTTCTGTGGTTGTTGGTGGCTCTGTCGGTGGTTCTGTGGTTGTTATTTCCTCTGTCGGCAGTTCTGTGGTTGTTGGTGGTTCTGTGGTTGTTGGTTGCTCTGTTGGCGGTTCTGTGGTTGTTAGTTGCTCTGTCGGCGGTTCTGTCGGCGTTCTGTGGTTGTTTGGCTCTTTTCTGTGGTTCTGGTGGTTGTTGGTTTGCTTTGTGGTGCGTTCGTGGTTGTTATTTCTCTGTCGGCGGTTCTGTGGTTGTTGGTGGTTCTGTTGGCGGTTCTGTGGTTGTTAGTTGCTCTGTCGGCGGTTCTGTCGGCGTTTCTGTGGTTGTTGGTGGCTCAGTTTGGCGGTTCTGTGGTTGTTGGTGGCTCTGTCGGCGGTTCTGTGGTTGTTGGTGGCTCTGTTGGCGGTTCTGTGGTTGTTGGTGGCTCAGTTGGTGGTTCTGTGGTTGTTGGTTGCTCTGTTGGCGGTTCTGTGGTTGTTGGTTGCTCTGTGGTGGTTCTGTGGTTGTTGGGTGCTCTTGGCGGTTCTGTGGTTGTTGTTCTGTTGGTTCTGGTTTTGCCGGTTCGGTTCTGTGGTTTGTTGGTGGCTCTGTGCAGTTCTGTTGGTTGTTGGTTGGCCTCTGGTTCTGGTTGGTGTTGGTGGCTCTGTTGGCGGTTCTGTGGTTGTTGGTGGCTCTGTCGGCGGTTCTTGTGGTTGTGGTGGCTCTGGTTGGTGGCTCTGTGTTGGTGGCTCTGTGAGGTTGTTGGTGGCTCTGTTTGGTGGTTTTCTTGTGGTTGTTGGTGGCCTCTGTCGGCGGTTCTGTGGTTGTGGTGGCTCTGTGGTGGTTCTGGGTTGTTGGTGGCTCTGTTGGTGTTTCTTGGTTGTTGGTTGCTCGTTGGTGGTTCTGTGGTTGTTGGTTGCTCTATGGCTGTTCTTGTGGTTGTTGTTGGCTCTGTTGGCGGTTTCTGGTGGTTGTGTGGTGGTTCTGTGGCGGTTCTGTGGTTGTTGGTGGCTCTGTCGGCGGTTCTGTGGTTGTTAGTTGCTTTGTCGGCGGTTCTGTGGTTGTTGGTGGTTTGTTGCGGTTGTGGTTGGTCTGTTTGGCGGTTCTGTGGTTGTTGTGTGGCTCTGTTGGTTGGTTCTGTCGGTTGTTGTGGGCTCTGTCGGCTTGGTTCTGTGGTTGTTGGTGGCTCTGTTCGGTGGTTCTGTGGTTGTTGGTGGCTTGTTGGCGGTTCTGTGGTTTTTGGTATGGCTCTGTGGTTGGTTCTGTGGTTGTTGGTGGCTCTGTCGGCGGTTTTGTGGTTTTGTTGGTTGGCTCTGTTGGCGGTTCTGTTGGTTGTTGGTTGGGCGGTTCTGTGGTTGTTGGTGTTGGTATCAGGTTGGTGGTTTGGTGGCTCTGTTGCGGTATCTGTTGGTTTTGGTGGCTCTGTTGGCGGTTTCGGTTGTTGGTGGTTGTGTGGTGGGTGGTTGCTCTGTTGGCGGTTCTGTGGTTAGTTGGTGGCTCTGTTTGGCGGGTTCTGTTGTTGTGGTGGGCTCTGTTGGCGGTTCTGTGGTTGTTGGTGGCTCTGTTGGCGGTTCTTGTTGCGGACTCAGTTGGTGGTTCTGTGGTTGTTGGTGTCTGTGGCGGTTCTGTGGTTGTTGGTGGTTCTGTTGGCGGTTCTGTGGTTGTTGGTGGCTCTGTCGGCGGTTCTGGTTGTTGGTGGTGGTTCTGTGGTTGTTGGTGGCATTGTCGGCGGTTCTGTGGTTGTTGGTGGCTTCTGTGGTTGTTGGTGGTTTGTTCGGTTGTTGGTGGGTCGGCGTTCTGTGGTTGTTGGTGGCATTGTCGGCGGTTCTGTGGTTGTTGGTGGGTCTGTCTGTCGGCGGTTCTGTGGTTGTTGGTGGCTCTGTCGGCGGTTCTGTGGTTGTTGGTGGCTCTGTTGGTGGTTCTGTGGTTGTTGGTGGCTCAGTTAGCGGTCCTGTGGTTGTTGGTAGTTCGGTGGCCGGTTCTGTGGTTGTGTGGCTCAGTTGGGGGTTCTGTGGGTGTTGGTGGCTCTGTCGGCGGTTCTGTGGTTGTTGGTGGCATTGTCGGCGGTTCTGTGGTTGTGGTGGTTCTGTTGGCGTTCTGTGGTTGTTGGTGGGTTTCTGTCGGCGGTTCTGTGGTTGTTGTGGCATTGTCGGCGTTCTGTGGTTGTTGGTGGGCTCGTCTGGTTCTGTGGTTGTTGGTGGTTCTGTCGGCGGTTTTGTGGTTGTGGCTGTTCTGTGGTTGTTGGTGGCTCAGTTGGCGGTTCTGTGGTTGTTGGTTGCTCTGTCGGCGGTTCTGTGGTTGTTGGTTGCTCTGTCGGCGGTTTCTGTGGTTGTTGGTGGCTCAGTTGGCGGTTCTGTGGTTGGTGGTGGTTCTGTCGGCGGTTTGTGTTGTTGGTGGTCTGGCGGTTCTATGGTTGTGGTGCTCTGTCGGCGGTTCTGTGGTTGTTGGTGGCTCTG